GCGGTTAGCCGAGATGGCTCCACTGCATCCAGCCTGGCAACAGAGCAAGACTCCCTCTCAAAAAAAAAAAAAAAAAACCAGAGAGAGAAAGAGATATAGTAGTAACATTTCCACATTTCTACCTTTAATAATGCACAAGGATTTCCTGCTCTGGTGAGAAAGGAATGGATCACTTGTGTACTTGTGCCCCAGCTGTTCAAATGACAACATCAACGGGCTTGGAATAATCTTTGGCTTCTCTGTTGAAGTACAGTTACCTCATGTCCAGTCTATGGTAAAAAAAATAAAGCAGGTTCTGGAGAATTCATGTTACATCAGAGCATTCTTTCCTTCCATCCACTGGTCCTCAGTCAGATAATTCCAAGGGGGCAGAATTGCAAAGCTTTGGAGACAAGAGTGGGCACAAAGTAGGACAGTAACTGAAGGGTGGACAGGACCTAGGCCAGGATGGTGAGCTTTATGGAAAGAGCTGTGTAGAAGGGACGCAATGCTTGAAGAGCAGGGAGGCTCTCCGTTCAGTTGACTAGAGGAAGAGTCTTTTCAACCAGAAGCCTAAGTTCAGCAAGAAAGGACAGAGTCCCCCATGTTCCACACCCTAGACTTTACATGAAGGCCTAAGAAAGCCAGTCTAATATGGTAAATATGATATTGGACTGAATATCTAACAATATAGCAATGATTTGCCCGATTCACTCACTCGGTCAAGCAGAGAGTTTATGAACACTCAGTAGCTGGCCAAGGGTAACTTCTGCTAAACCTCAGGTACAATGAAAGAGTATTTTATTCTAAGGTAGCTCAACCTCAAGAGCAGAAGCACCATACTCTTTGTATGGAAGCAGTTAATATTTTATCAGCCTCTCCTGTGGAACACTAGTTCTCAGGACACAATAGGTTCCCTTTAAGAAAAAAAAAGGTTTTATGATCAAATAGATTTGAAAGATAAAAACAAACGTGATTCTTTACTGTAAGCCCTCTGAGAATCTCCAGCACACAGACAGCCTCTATGAATCTTCACGTGGCATGTATCATGTCCCATATTTACTTGGCCACAGAAAACCTTTTTCCATGGAGCATCTCCTGGGACCAGTTTTCTGTTAAACACATTAACAGCACAACCCCACGAATGACTTTAGGAACTATTTTATGGTCCTCTGTAGGCTGAAAACCTACCCAGGCTGAATAGAATAGACAACTTGTTTTCAAAAACCAGCTAGAGTAATGTTTGAACCTACTTCAGTGAGTCCCACTGCCCCCTGAGATCTGGGCGAATCCCATGAAAAAAATGAAAAAATGCCTTGTAGTGAGCTTGCTGCTGGGTTGTATATGGGTGTGGTGGGGGTACAAGCGAGGAGGTGAGCAGAGGGGGGCTGAGAGGTAAGAGATGGAGGAGGGACCTAACTGAGAGGAGCCTGACATGGTATGTTCAGGTGGACAGCAGGCAGAGGGGCCCAGGACAAGGCTACAAAGGCTGGACGGGGCCAGACCACTCAGGTCTTAAAGATTATGTTAAGGAGGCCAGGCATGGTGGCTCATGCCTATAATCCCAGCACTTTGGGAGGCTGAGGTAGATGGATCACCTGAGTTCAGGAGTTCAAGACCATCCTGGCCAACATGGTGAAACCCTCTCCCTACAAAAATACAAAAATTAGCTGAGCACGATGGTGGGTGCCTGTAATTCCAGCTGCTTGGGAGGCTGAGGTGGAAGAATCACTTGAACCCTGGAGGTGGAGGTTGTGGTGAACTGAGATCTTGCCACTGTATTCCAGCCTGGGTGACAGGGTGAGATTCTGTCTCAAAAAAAAAAAAAGATTATGTTAAGGACTTTCACCTTTTTCTTAAGGACAATAAAAAGCCAATGGGTGATTTTAGGTAAAGAGTGATAAGATTAGATGATCATGTATAAGGTCTCTGCAGTGTGAAAAATGGATTAGGAGTCAGGGGAAATAGGTTTGAGGAGACCACGTAGGAGGACTTGCACTGGTGCAGGTGGAAGTTAAAGGCAGAATGGTGCTGACTCTGCAAAGAAGTGAAAAGATGTAAGAGGTTTTTAGGAGTCCTTAGCAGTTGGATGGAGGTAAAACGGAAAAAGAGGAAGGTGTATTATTCTTTTCTCTGTTCTCACACTGCTATGAAGATACTACCAGAGACTGGGTAATTTAGAAAGGAAAGAGGTTTAGTGGACTCACAGTTCCACATGGCTGGGGAGGCCTTAGAAAACTTACAATCACGGTAGAAGGCACTTCTTCACAGGGCAGCAGGAAAGAGAAATGCCAGGTACTTTATAAAACCATAGATCTCATGAGAACTTACTATCATGAGGACAGCATGAAGGAAACGGCCCCTGTGATCCAATTAACCCCATCTGGTCTCTCCTTTGACATGTGGGGATTATGGAGATTATAATTCAAGATGAGATTTGGGTGGGGACACAAAGCTTAACCATATCAGAGGGTATCAAAATGGTTACCCAGTTTCTGGACAGAACGACTGGGAGTTATAATAATAGCATTTGATGAGCTAGCATATATTTAAAGAAGGAAAGGAGAAGAAGAGCTGAGTTTGGGGTGTCTTTGAGATATTCTAGAGTATATGCAGAGTATATAGTTGGAGACTTGTAAATATTCTGGAGAAAACTACGTTTTCTCATGAATTACTGGAGTAAATTTCAAATGCAGTAGAGACTTAAATGCATAAAATTAATTCATATATGGTTAGAATAACAGGAAAATATTTCTAAAATCTTGATATATAGAATCTTTCTAGCATGAAATGAAAAAAGAAATCAAAACCTCAATATTTAATTATATAAAACTAAACTGCAATATATGGAAAACAAGATACTTTGTACACATTTCAAAGGCAAATGACAGCAGAAAATATGTGTAACCTATGTCAGATAAAATGTTATCTACTTAAAAAAAAGGGCTATCTCATATCAAGAAGAGTAAAGGTTAGCATGAACGGTCTGGTAGAAAATCAAAGAATATGAATAGAGAGTTTATAAAGAAGAAACATAATTAACCAGAAACATATATAAGCAGTGATCGTTCTTACTATAAGTCAAAGATCTACAAATTTAAACAACACTAAAATGGTATTTGTGACCAGTAGAATGACAATTCTCAGTATTTGTGTCAAGACAAGGAAATAAATGCTCCTGTGCACTTTTGGTAGAAGTAAATACTGCTACCATGTTTGTTTCTTCTCCTCCTGGAGAGTAATCTCCAAATAAGTGTGTATTCTCCTGGACCCTGGGATTCTATTTCTGTAAAATTATGCTAAGAATAAGTACACAAACATGTATATAAAAGAAGATCCCTTGTAATGTTGTTTACAATGGAGAAAAGTTCTCAATTGCCCAAAAGTTGAATTGTGGATGGAACGTTTAAAAAAAATCACAATATTTCATATAATGGACTACAGGGCAGCCAGTAAAAATGATAAAACAGAAGCTATTCTTGATGTAAAAACACATTTATGATATACGTATATTTTTAAGTGAAAAGTAAATTATAAAATAGTATGAGGAGTATGATTCCTTTTATATTCAAGTATATATGCATATACACTATACACTTTGTTACACACAGAGAGACCTTCAGAAAAATCTCTGGATATCAGATTGTATCAAAATCTTAATAATAGTTATCTCCTAGCAGAACAGTTGTCAGTAGTGGGATTATTTTTCCATAGTCCTAAATTTTCTAATTTTTCATCTATGCTTTTTATTACTCATGGGATAAGAATATCTGGAAAAAAACCCAGGATGCTTCCCTAATATTATTTTCATTTCCTCAGGTGAGCATATATGCCTGCATGTGTTTATAAGCAAAACAAAGCCATCTGCGAATCATTTTTGGAGTGAGCCCACTTCTCAGTCCCAAGAAAAGCCTAAAGGAAAGCACAGGCTGTGACACAGATAAATAGAAGGAAAATCAGAAGTTGCTTTTCCTACACCTTGGCTTTTGTCACCTTTGCCAGGGGCACAAATGAGGCTCCCCTGGGATGGCTGAGGGACCCAGGCTTTGTGAAATTCTCCAGGGCTTGGGAGGTGGCCACAGTGGCTTAGCAGGAGAGAGGTGAACACAGCAAGGTGCACTTTAGCCGATGATAACACATGCTTTTTTTTGGCTTCAGAGCCCACCCTCCTCTGTGGGCACCTGACATGTCATCCTCTTCTAATTTGCAATCCAGAGTGGCCCTTAAGCTTTTGTTGGTTGAAGAAAACTCTAAAAACATAGACTTTGTCTTACTCTTTACATTTCAAGATCCCTGGGTTCTGTTGGAAAAGCAGGGGATGGAATATTTTCTTTGGAGAATCTGATGAACATTTGAGAGGCTACCCTGAGCACATACACATACATACCACATTTCACATCTGTTTTTGGAGATTCACAAAATTGGGGTGATTTTGAAGAAGGACCCCAAGTTATGCCGGAACCCCCAATCTAGAAGTGGCTTCTCCTGCTCGGTGTTCAGTGGCCACCAAGGTTTCTGGAGAAGCCAGTCCTACCCCCCTACAGTCTCACCTGCTGTCCCACTCTCCTGATACTTTTATATCTTGCAATAAAAAGAAAGACGGCAGCTGAAAGCAGCTTCTACAGAAGACATGCCCCTTCCTTCTTTTCACCTTCTAACTTTCATTAACCCTTCACCTTTTTCAAGTGTTCATGTAATGGCCCACTTCTCACGTTTCATGGTCCTAGCCTAAGAAGCGTACAGTAATGATAGTCTTTGTAAGTCTAGGCGCCAAATGACCATCTCAGAAAAGCTCCATTTAACGTCAACACACAATGGGCTGTTTTAAAACAGATCTTCATCCAAGCCATGCCTCCTTATATTTTGTAATGGTGTTCATATCTCGCAATATTTTATTCATGATGGATGTGTGTGTGTGTGTGTGTGCGTGTGTGTGTGTGTGTGTGTGTGTGTGTGTGTTTAACATCTGCAATCAGGGACTTTGGGGTAAACTTGAAAACTCAGTCCATGGAATCACTTGCCTGTAAACCCGGGTGCACAGATGCACGTGCCATTCAGGCCGTCACTGTCACAGGTGGCTCCGTTCAGACAGCTGACATTAGCGCAGGGATCCTTGTACAACTCACAGTGTGTTCCTGCAGAGAAACAAGCAAAACAGGATGACTCATCTAGGACTCTCTAGCTCCCATGGCCTCTGAAAGCAAAGACGGAGTAGTCTGGAACAGCGCAAGGGAGATTCCCAGCGTGGGTGTGTGTGGGTGAGTGTATACACACATGCCCACTCATGACTTTAGATTGTTGTAAAAACATGCCTCATGAGAAAGTAACACATTTGATCACTGTCCATAGGTCCCACCGTAGTCTTTTATCTGTACTTTCTCTGCCTACGTGTCCTAAAGCCTGGGTAACAGAAAGTTAAAAGCCTGAAAGATAATCAATAATAAATGCTTTCTAAGTCTCCAAAAGAAACAGAAAACATCTAGATAGCGTTGACAAAATATAATATCAGCAACCTGAAAGTAAAGATTTGGAATCAGATATTCAAGTGAGTCTCAGATCTACTTTAAGGAACTACAGGGGACGGGGAAGCTGAGTGATACTTAGACTTAATTCTCAGAGACATCACTCCAGGCTTTATGTATAATTTATTTCTTACAACAACACTATCCTTATTTCCCCATTTTACAGATGAGGAAACTGAGGAAAGAGTCCAAGATGACAAGGCTGGTGGGGAAAAAAGCTAGGATTTGAACCTGCCCCTAATCCCATCCTAGAGTCTCTGCTTGCTAAGTAGGCTGTTGAGAGTGAACCCGAACTGACTGTGGAAATATACAAAACTATAGAGCTCAGTGCTCATTTTACAAAGAAGAGACACTAAAAAAAATCTGCAGAGTAAAAACAAAAAGTTTCTCATTTACGTTTTTTTTTTAAAGACTGTGAGTGCGTGTACGTATGTAAATGCCTGAAGCAGGACTGGATCACTTCTAGGAGACCTGATTACTTTGATGATCACGTCTGTGTATTTCTACATTATTGGTACCTTTTTTTACAAACATATGCTCTTTTATAATTTTATTAAAAACTAAAAATCTAATGCTATTTGAAAGGTAGGATATCTGCTGGAGTTACACTGGATGTCAAGATGGAGGAATAGATTGGCGTCTCTCTCCTCCTCGTCCTCGCCCTTCTCCCTCTCTCCTTACCCCTATCCCCCACCCTTTGGAGAGAAAAATAAATTACATTCTATCTTGCCTAAGAATGCACATGATGATATGTCCACACTTCCCAACAGCCTCAAGAAAAATATGCGTAAAGCAAATAGTAACTGAATGGTATTCACTTCATTTTCTCTGCACTTCGTTACTTAGCTCATGTTGTGAAAGGGACCACCACACCCAATGACTCATCCTTTAGGCACTGACACCATCCTTACTGGGCTTTTCCCTTATTTCTTTCTCAAGGGCTTAAGAAGTAGGGCTAGGAAGCAGGAAAGGAAGTCGGAGAAAAGAGAAACGGAACTTCCTATCGATATTCACACTAATGACTTATTTGAGTCAGATAAAGCTCAAATTTTAGAATAAATGACCTGTAATTGAGCCAGGTAAAGCTCGAATTGTACCATCAATGACCTTTAATTCTTTTTTATCCTTTGCCCCTCCCAGCCAAGCCATCAACAATATTCTGCTGGGTATTTTTTGAAGCATCTTTCAAATCTTTGCCTTTCTTTCCTTTCTGAGACCACCGCTGTGATCCCACTGCCTCATGCCTGGTGGGATACAGCCTCCGGAAGACATGTCTTATTTTCCTCTGTCTCTAGGGACTTGAACGAGCCTCCTTGACTTTATTCATCCCTAACTCAGGATGCATGGTAATACAAAAGATCGAAATCATGTTAAGATTAGCATCAATCTTGTGTACGGCCTCTTCTCCCCGGAGTCTCTATTTTTACTTTCCAAGTAGCCTGGGCTCAGTTGAAAGAATAAAAAGGAGAAGAGCCTTTTCTGCTTCAAAATGTTTATCACAACACAAAGACTCACATATTTACAAGTTCCCCTTGGGCTGATCAATGGGAGCCAAGTGACAAAAAAAGACTTTTGATTGAACAGGAAATACAGCCATTACCAAATTTCAGAGGTGCCCGAAGCCTAGAAAACATTTCCATTAGACCTGAAGTCAAAGAAATCAAATGATCATCACTGGGTCTCTAGTAATACACTAACATATTAGCACACAAACTATCACATTTTAAAAACAAGACTGAAAAGCAAATTCTAGGCTAAGTATTTAAGCGTCTTATTTTTTATTTAAAGTCTTCAACAAAACAGACTTAATGAAAACACCCAAGATAATAAGCAATTTCAATCTTTTGGGTGTTTGGGTTTTTGTTTGGATGGATGGCTCTTTTTTGGAGGGTGGGGAAACTATAATTTTTCCCTGGTTAATTCTCTTTTTCAAATGGCAAGACATTCGGTCCCTTGAGCATCTATTGAGATGTTTCTGGCAGCAAGACTGGACAAAAGCTAATCTTCACAGAAACTTGATTACTGAGAAGCAAGATGGTGTTAAAAGTCCCTGGAGAGCACTTTGGTGACTCACATTTCTATACTGTAACCCTTGCTAATCCCTATATAAAATATATTTGTCATATTGCTCAGCTTGTCATTAGAGCTGAACGACTCTGAGCTAAAAACTTTAAATACGGAGACCAGACAATCATGGACACTACCAATGTGCCAAGGTGTCTTCATTCAAACCCTCCTCCTCTGGAGGCCCCTGAGCCCCTTCTTGCTGCCCTCCTCACCACTCCTATTTCCAGAAAACATTCAGTCTTGGGCATCCTATTTCCTCTGAGGAGTCACCTTCTTTCACACCCTTCCCCCAACCTGATCTTCACATATTTAATTCATCTTTCGGTTCCCAATCCAAATGCCCTCCCTCTGCAAAGCTGAACCTTGATTTTCTCAAGACAGACCATATTCTAGGCACCACCGTACCTAGAGAGCATGCCGGGACTGTCATGGTCACGGAGTTCACTGTGCCTATTCATAACTTATCTGCTCTCCTGTCTGATTCTCCCACAAATCTCTGAATTCCTATAAAGCAGAGGCCGTATCATCATGCGTGGAAGAAATGATGGATTTAACACCAGAATTCTGTCTTTTTAAGAGGGGCGACAGCCAGTGTACTTTGGCTGACACACAGGTGAGGTTGCCAGAGGAGAGATTCCAAATTCCAAAGCTGCCTCAAAAACACCCTATTTTGTCAGGGAAAAACCAGGTCCACACTTCAATCTAAGTCTGTGGAATGACACATGCACACATGCATCACGCATTGGCAGAGGAGGCAGCACGCACTCTTACAAAACTGATGTTTAGTCTCAAGCAAAAATAAACTGTAATTCAGTCAAAACTAATAAAAATTCGTGCTTTTCGGCCGGGCGCAGTGGGTCAAGCCTGTAATCCCAGCACTTTGGGAGGCCGAGGCGGGTGGATCACGAGGTCAAGAGATCGAGACCATCCTGGTCAACATGGTGAAACCCCGTCTCTACTAAAGATACAAAAAATTAGCTGGGCATGGTGGCGTGTGCCTGTAATCCCAGCTACTCAGGAGGCTGAGGCAGGAGAATTGCCTGAACCCAGGAGGCGGAGGTTGCGGTGAGCCGAGATCGCACCATTGCACTCCAGCCTGGGTAACAAGAGCGAAACTCCGTCTCAAAAAAAAATCCATGCTTTTCATATTAAGGGATGGCGAAGAAGTGTTTCTAAAAAGACTGATTCCAACAGGGTTCTTTACAGAAGTTAATTTTAGAATCGAAATAAGAATTCAAAGAGCAGTACACCAATTCTAAGTCTTTGTTGTTGGAACAAATTTAGTTACAATCAATAATTGAAAAATGAAAATCATTATTTTATCTCCAAGAAACTAAGCCAGTAAAGAAGTGTTCCTACACTTAAGATTTACTTTAAGACACGGTCTCATTTCATCTAAACTTAATTCCTCTACGAAAAGTTTTTCCAGTATTTCAACCTTTACAGATCTCCACATTTTTTAAACCATTTCAGAAATTACAATCGACAACTCAGCCTTAGCCTCATTATTCCTGTGTGTGCCACTCAGTCTGCTTGTCCAGTTAAATAATAGGCTGAACAGGAAGACACTCTGATTTAGCCTTTTTGTATTTATCGCAGTACTTGTAAGGGCTGGGTACACAAAATAACCAGAAATTCTTGTTCCCTGGCTAAGCAGAATCTAGCAAAGGAAATAATTTTATCCAACAGCTAAGGAGATCTCATCCTTTCCATTAAAATGTCTCTAGCGTTTAAAAATAAATAAGCACGTACAGGCCGGGCGTGGTGGCTCACGCCTGTAATCCCAGCACTTTGGGAGGCCCAGGCAGGCAGATCACTTGAGTTCAGGAGTTCAAGACCAGCCTGGCCAGCATAGTGAAACCCCGTCTCTACTAAAAATACAAAAATTAGCCATGCGTGGTGGCAGGTACCTGTAATCCCAGCTACTTGGGAGGCTGAGGCAGGAGAATAGCTTGAATTCAAGAGGCAGAGGTTGCAGTAAGCCAAGATTGTGCCACTGCACTCCAGACTGGGTGACAGAGCAAGACTCTGTCTCAAAAAAAATTAACAATAATAAAGTACGTACAAGGTAATTAAATCTATAATCCAGTGATTTCATTTCTGAGACTATCCCTAGAAAGTATGAAAGCAATATAAATAAGGATATTAATTCCAGAAATATCCAGCCCCACATCAGATGCAACAACAAGGCAATGAATAAGTATTTCTTCATGGGAACATTATAAAGTCATTTAAAATAAAACTAGTAAGGTTTCCTAACAATATATAAATCAAACATAATGTCCTATTATGAGTGAGCAGAACAATATAAAATTGTAGGTATACTCAACTATGTAACACTAAAAACATAAATACTAAAAAGAGAATGGAAGCAACACAGAGAATTATGGCTTACATTATGCTGTAAAACCATGGGTGATTATGAATTTTCTCTTTTCTTCTATTTATTCTTATGTTATTTTCATAATTAAAAATCAGAGGTTTTTTTTCTAAATTTTGTCTCCAAAAATTTCAAATACATATGTTGTTGATCATTTCATTGGATC